GACCACCTACCCTGTGACATAGGAAATTTCTTCCCTTCCAGACATGAACTTACCATGATGCTTGGAAAATTTGAGTTGTTGCTGAAGTTTAACACTGAGTCAGTGCTGTAGACAATGGGACAGAACCAGCTTGAGTTTCTTTTTCTCAGGGAAAGCACAACGGAAGTGCTTCTAAAGAGGAATGGAGACAATACCTGGTTTTGTAGTAGGGAATTGCTGGAGATGTGAGCAAACATAGCGAGGAAAGCAAATCTTTCTCAGATGAGAAAGCTATTGAGCCCACTGTGCTTTCTCTTTGTGATTTCACTTTTCTGTGTCCAGAGCAGAAACAAATTCTTTAAGAAGCAGGTAAAGGTGTTGGCTTCCTTAGACACAACAGGAGCAATTTGTCATCATCTAATGCTGCTTGAGATGCTGTAGGTATCCTGACTCACCCTTGTCTGCCACTCCAGAAGGTCATGGGTCTGCCCACGCCAGCCCAGCGTCACACTTGCAGCCCTGTGTGGCTATCTCCGAGGTCCTAGGACGCCTGCTACGGCACTAGGCACTCTTTTTGGCACCCGAATCCACACTCAGAGAACTTTAGAGATTATTCAGTTCAGTGGTTTTCAGACTTAAAAACTAAGAAGACTGAGCGGAATATCGTCAATAGTAGTATCCAGAGTTGAGTACTAAGCTCAAAATTTGACATTTTCACCAGTGTAAGCACCATTTCTCTGATACTATGTGAGCTCAGTAACTACCCAGACCTTGAAATAAGGAAGGAGGTTGCCTGTATCAGTGATCATGGCTAATAGTATCTTCCAATACATTCAGTTATTTATTATCAAACTACTAATCTTTGGTGTCTATTCCAGCCCCTTTTACTTTTGCTAAGGCCTTCTCCCCTTTTGCTGTCCTTGTTTCTTTTTCTTTAAAAGCTTTTTTATTTGGAGTACTGAATTATTTGATCAAAGGCTAACTCCTTTCTCCCTTTAACCTGAGTTTTTCCTTTTAAAATCTTCTTTATCAGTATTCTAAAAGTCCTGTCCACATGTCCCCGTCTTTTTTTTTAGTCCTACAAATATTACACAAATGAAATTGTTTTCATTAATTTTTAATAATCCTTAGCTGTTATACCACTACAATATTAGCCCTTCCTTCAGCTGAAGCTCCTGATTGCTATTCCAAACTTTCTCATCCATTGAGCCTATTAAATTGTTGCAAGGTCTCTCTGATAAATTCACTATCATTCAAGTCCCTTGATTTAAACTCTCCTTTATGTCCAAAATCCACTTAAGCATTTTTTTCACTTTTTTTTTGAGGTCCATTGCTTCTTCCCTTTTGATGTTTTTTTCCAAATCCTCCCTGTCACTCCATCGTCTTGCTCCTTGTTCCATTTCTCCCAGTCACCCCAGTTGCTGCAGAATCCCCTTTCCACACATTGTCTTTCTGCCACTGGTGTGTTTTCTCCATCCAAGCCCTGCTCTCTGCTTCCCCTCACCTGATACTCTTTGCCTGGGCCTTGGTGTCATCTCAAACCTCACCGTATCTTTCCCAGAGCTAGTTTGAGGCTTCTGA